GGCAACTTTCTCAACACCACGTGCTTGGAGCGACAGACCCTGGAGACACAAAGCTATCCTGGCAAGGGGCCTGCCAGGGGAGGGGGAGGTTGTGCAACTCCCACCTCCCTGGTGCGCCGAAGGAGAGGGAGGAGACTGCACATCTGAGGATGCAGGCAGAGGTGGACACAGGGATGCAAATGACTAGTAGACTACCTGATAAGCAAATGTAGTGACTTGACTAGTTGTTCACCTCCCAGCAAGGCGGGGAGCTGGCTTTAAAAGTTGGTTTCCCCCAGCGCCGTCTCCATGAGGGACTAGGGGGGTGGTAGTGAAGGGAAGTAGAGGCGCAGTGGGGACTGAAGCAGTCCTTGCTCGTGCCAGTCTGACTGCTATGCCTCTCTCTTTGAAATGTTATGAGCCCCGCGGGGCTCTTCCTACATTTCAAAGGGAGAGGTGGTGCAGTGAATGTGGGGTGAGTGGGTATTGAAATGTAGCAAGCATCCCAGGGAGAGGTGAAACCTGACGCAAGTGGGGATTACTTGAGTCCCTGCTCACCCTGAGTTCCCTGTGCTGCCTCTGCATTTGAAATGTAGCAAGAGTCCCCCTGGGGCTCTTGATACATTTCAAAGGCAGAGGTAGTCCGGAGGCTCATGCAGTCCCTGTTTGCCTCAAATTCTGCCCCACCCTTTGAAATTCCATCGACTACTTGATTAGTGGATTAACCAAAATGTATCATCCCTAGGCGGGCGGTGGGATGCATGTGACGTCTGTGTCGTCCCTCAGGAAATTTTCACCCCCTCTCCCCCGTATAGATGTGTATCTTCCTGGTTAGCAAAAAAGAACACCAAATTTAGTGTAAAGACTGTTTACTTGCAAATCAACATGTTTTAATGTTTACCAAATAATAAGAATCATGTTGAACATGTTCTAAAGGTTACCAACTGAAAGAAATCAAGTGTTCTTTAAGAAAATAACTAAAATTACAAAAGCAAAACTTTATTACAATTGATTATTTAAATTAAAAATTCCTGTCTGAACTTAAATCCTGATTAAAATGAAATATTTAATTTTTTTAAGGATTTTTTTTAATAAAGCATATTGCAAAGATAATTAAAATCTGTCTCTTTTTGGCGTATAGGTTGTTATATAAAGAACTTGTGCTCTCACATAGGCTGTTGGATCTACATAGAGAGTTGTACCAGTCTAATTAAAGGTGTAATTTTATACCAATTTAGTTAAACCAGTGAAATTTCTATGCTAAGATATGCCCTTTCAATTTTGTAAACTAGTGAACTAGAGAGTCTGCTTCTTTCACTCTCCTCCTGTTGTCCGGATTTGTTGTTCCTGGCCACTGGAAGCTGTTAGAAGTAGGGAAGTAAGTGAACAGTTGACTAATTGATAAGCCTAATCTAGTCAATTACTCACATTCCTGCCCTCCCCTTGCTGCCTCTGCGGGAAGCAGAAGCTGGTGCTGGGGGAGCTGGCTTAAAAGCTGGTTCCCCCAGCACCATCTCCTCGGTGCTGCATGCGCACCCGCCTACTGCTGCTGCCTCTATCATTGATACTGTTAAGTTTATCGATTTGTTCCAAAACCTCCTCTAATGACACCTCAGTATGGGACAATTCCTCAGATTTGTCACCTAAAAAGAATGGCTCAGGTTTGGGAATCTCCCCGATATCCTCAGCTGTGAAGACTGAAGCAAAGAATTTATTTAGCTTCTCTGCTATGACTTTATCATCTTTGAGTGCTCCTTTAGCATCTTGATCGTCCAAGGGCCCCACTGATTGTTTAGCTGGCTTCCTGTTTCTGATGTACTTAAAAAACATTTTACTATTTTTGAGCTTTTGGCTAGCTGTTCTTCAAACTCCTTTTTGGCTTTTCTTATTATATTTTTACATTTAATTTGACACAGTTTATGCTCCTTTCTATTTTCCTCACTAGGATTTCACTTCCACTTTTAAAAAGATGTCTTTTTATCTCTCGTTGCTTCTTTTACCTGGTTGTTAAACCATGGTGACACTTTTTTGCTTCTCTTACTGTGTTTTTTAATTTGGGGTATTTAAGTTGGGCCTTTATTATGATGTCTTTGAAAAGTTTCCATGCTGCGTGCAGAGATTTTACTGTGGCTACATTGCTCTGCTTCTCCTACTGTTGTTGATTATGGGGAAAAGGATAGACTAAGGATGCCTAGGGACTCTTGCCACGCTAGCTGCTGCCTGGCCACTTGCCCTTCTGTCCCTGCAGTTTTGGGGGAGGGTGGGAACATGTGACTCCTGATGCATCGTACGTTCAGGGTCTCTGGGAATTATGGGACAGATAAAACTGCATCATGGGGTAGTAAAACTGCATCATGGGTCAGTGATCCTGCCTCTGTGATACACTGTGATCCATTCCTAGAACTCTTAGGAGGAGGAGGTGGCTATTTGCACAGTGGGGTAGTTATCCACAGGCCACTGCTCACTCTGTTTGTATTAGAGCACTAATGATGGATGCGTCTCCTAACATAAGGATTATGGTATGAATATACACATGCAATATAGTTACAGTGGTTTATAATAATTGGTGTAACTTAAGTTGACTGAATTATGTGGTGTAGATAAGATCATATGGAGTATCTTGTTCATAAGCAGCATATACACATATTTGAATGTGCTGTAACTTTCAGATCAGTTGTAAATACTCTTGAGAACATCCATCTTAAGACAGACCATCTAGTCTAGCATTCTGTTTTCTAACAATAGCCAATGCCAGGCCTTCAGAGGGAATGAACAGAACAGGCAATCAGGTGATCCATTCACTCCTAGCTTCTGACAGATGGAGGCTAAGGATACTTAGGACATGGACGTACATCCTTGACCATCTTGGCTAATAGCCATTGATGGACCTATCCTCAATTAATGTATTTTATTCTTTTTTTGAACCATATTATATTTTTTACCCTTACTACATCAAACTTGGAAATTAGTTTCACAGGTTGACATTGTACTTCTTCACATAATTCAACCTTTTGTTTGTTTTGAACTTGTTGGCTTTTGATGTCATTGGGTGACTCCTGGTTCTTGTAATCACGAGGAGTAAATGACACTTCCTTATACATTTTCTCAATACCATTCATGATGTTATAGACGCTATCGTAATTCCCCCTTTTCCAAGCTGAAAAGTCCCTGTGGTTTTAATCTCTCATATTGGAAGATGTTCCATACCCTTAATTTTTACTTCCCTTTTCCAATTTTATTATCTTTTTTGAGATGGAGCAACCAGGATTGCATGTAATATTCAGGATGTATTGTTGAATTTATGAAGTGGCATTTTTCCAGAAGGGTAGATGTACTAGTCTGTTTCAACAAAAACAATAAGTCCTATGGCACCTTGAAGACTAACACATTTATTTTGGCATAAGTTTTCATGAGCTGGAGCCCACTTCGTGCAAATAAATTTGTTAGTCTTCAGGGTACCATAAGACGACTCATTGTTTTTGTCGAAAGTTGTATTATGTTTTCTGTCATCTTATCTATCCCTTTCCTAATGGTTCTTAACATTCTGTTAGCTTAGTGGTCCCTTTTTACACATTGAACGGATGTTTTCAGAGAACTGGCCACAACGACTTCAAGATCATTCCTGAGTGGTGGTAACTAATTTAGATCCTACCTCTATTTTGCATGTATAATTTAGGTTATTTGCATTACTTTGCATTTTTCAACATTGAATTTCATCTACTATTTTGTTTCTATCAGCTGATTTGGGTGATTTAATGACTACATAGTTAAGCTGGTAGAGCTTAAAAGGGCAAAAATGGCTAAGCTCTGAGAGCACAGAATAGTCAAGATAAACCAGTCAGTTTACTCTATTTAAAGGTACATTAGTGTTTCTGGGCACAATATGCTTGGTTCTTTGCCTCCACATAAGTGAATAAAGAAAATACGTGTTCTGATTCAAATCTGGGACTCTCTGGGCAGCATCCGTGGAATGGCAGGACCAGGGAAGATGCTGGATCAAAGAACCCCAGCTGTCTCTGGTCTGGAGATCCTTGTCCAGGCCAGCAGCAGAGGGGCTGGAGGCTGGGGATCCCCAGGACCAGGGATGCCCAGCAGGGCTGGCAGCGGCTGGGGAGCCCCAGCCTGAGGATTCCCAACCTTGTCAGCTGCAGGTGTGCAGGCAGTCCTGGGATCTCCAGTGAGGCCAGCAACAGGGAGCCCCAATGGGGCTGGAGATCCTTAGCCCATGCTGGCATTAGCAGGGCTGGTGGCTGAGGGTCCCCAGCGGGGCTGGTGATGTCTGGGGCTCCCCGGCTGTGCCTGCAGTAGGTCCTGTGGCTGGGGATTGCCAGAGCTGGGTGTTTTCAACAGCAGGGAGGGACAGCAGGCTGGGAGGCTGGCAACAGGAAAGGACCTCGCCTCGTCTGGCAAAATCCCTAATTCAGGACCGGTCATGTCCTGGGGGGCCAGATCAAGGAGGTCCAGCCTGTATTAAAATCAAATTAGTTTATTGTATGTATGAAATGTGAACTTCTAATATTTTCAGTTTTATTTCCAGACAGATTTCTTCAAACATGTGAAAGGCAGTTTTCCTCATTGAAGTATAAGTACACAAAGTTTGAAATTTTAAATACATCTGGACCACAAAATAGACATTTCAGAAATTGCTTGCTATAAAAAGTAACCAAAAGTCTCAGATGTTTATGGTAGTTAAAATAGTTTGAATGGTGGTTTTTGTTACACTTATTTTCATTACAATTGTTTTGATGAAAACCACAAACAATACCATAGTTTAAACCCTTCTTCATGCATGGTTACAATTTAAATATTTGCAAAAATATACAGAGTGCACTCCATTAATAGTGAGGTTTTACTTAAATCAACAAAAGCAAAACAAGACAGTTCAGCGTTAGGGCTGATGTTTTGGTTAACTCATTATTTTGTGTAGTATTAAGGACCAAAAATCTGACTCTCCCATCTTCCTTTGTCATCTTAATATTATTTAAGTAACATTTTCTATATTTAATAGTTTCTAGTAACACATTTAAATGATTATTTGTTTTGTAGAAATAGTTAACAATAATATTATTTTTTCCTCAGAACTGAAGGAACAAGTCATCATGGGAGCATTTTTAGACAAGCCAAAGATGGAGAAGCATAATGCCCAAGGGCAGGGTAATGGGCTACGTTATGGGCTAAGTAGCATGCAAGGTTGGCGAGTTGAGATGGAGGACGCACACACAGCTGTTATTGGTTTGCCAAATGGACTTGATGGATGGTCATTTTTTGCTGTATATGATGGGCATGCCGGATCCCAGGTTGCCAAATACTGTTGTGAGCATTTATTAGATCACATCACAAGCAACCAGGATTTTAAAGGGTCTGATGGACCACCGTCTGTGGAAAGTGTAAAGAGTGGAATCAGAACAGGTTTTCTGCAAATTGATGAACATATGAGAGTAATTTCTGAGAAGAAACATGGTGCAGATAGAAGTGGGTCAACAGCAGTGGGTGTCATGATTTCTCCTCAACACACTTATTTCATCAACTGTGGAGACTCAAGAGGTTTACTTTGTAGAAACAGGAAGGTTTACTTCTTCACACAAGATCACAAGCCAAGTAATCCACTGGAGAAAGAGCGTATACAGAATGCAGGTGGTTCTGTAATGATTCAACGTGTGAATGGCTCTCTTGCTGTATCTAGAGCTCTTGGGGACTTTGATTACAAATGTGTCCATGGAAAAGGTCCTACAGAGCAGCTTGTCTCACCGGAGCCTGAAGTTTGTGAAATTGAGAGATCAGAAGAAGATGATCAGTTTATCATACTGGCATGTGATGGTATCTGGGATGTTATGGGAAATGAAGAGCTCTGTGACTTTGTAAGATCCAGACTTGAAGTCACTGATGACCTTGAGAAAGTTTGCAATGAGATAGTCGACACCTGCTTGTACAAGGTAGCCAGAATTTTAAGAGGAGAAACTTACTATGTTTTCAGTACAGGAGTAGTAATTTCTCTGTTATCCACAAAATGAAAATAAATTGTCAGTTCACATCTATAGAGTAGCCGAAGTTTAGTTTCTGTACAATTTTGTAACTATGGAGTCATTCCACAGTTGAGCCACTTACAAGAATGCCACTGGCTATAACTAGGAGCAGCAAATAATAAGTTAGGGCACATAGACTTAATATTGGATTTCCTTATTTGATTAGGAGTTTAAATCATGTAAAGACGTGCTCTGTGGCAAATTATTTAATGGTTTTAAACCGTGACCAAGAGAAATAAAAGTGCCCTTTTTGCTGCTTCACAATGTAATACAATGGATTAAAAATATATGGTAGAAGTATCGAGTCTTATTCAGTCTCCATGAGAAATATGTATTACTTGAGAACTGGTGGTATTGGTATGAGTGGAAAATTTAGTAACCGAGGAGAAATGATCTATTTCTAAGATTTTAAAAAAGGAACGGCTTTTATACCATACAAAAGTAAATAAAGGGCATGACAATTTTATTTTTTTCCTTTTCTGTCATTGGGAAATGTAGTATTTGTCTGAATCATGCCAAGACCATTGCAAAATGACTGAAATTGGATTTGTAAAATTAAGAACTTCAGTTAATTGCAGAAGTCTTTGATATGATTTTTTTAAGGATTTGTAAAATTAAGAACTTCAGTTAGTTGCAGAAGTCTTGGATATGATTTTTTTTTAAATTGTTCCTTGTACAATTGTCCTGCATAAATTTTTTTCTTGTACACTTACAGATTTGTTTCTTATAACTTTTAGATGTCCAAGAGTACAATTAATTTATCTACTCAAGAAGACAGGCACAATTTTTAGTTAATGAATACAGATTTTATGATTGTATTCGTATGCAAGGAGTCAGAATTTGTATGTTTCTATAAACAGAATGAAAGGTTGTTCTATTGCTCAGTAGCACTTACTCAGCATTGTTAAAATTTCATGTTTTAACCTTCCCATGACAAACATTAATCCTATTTTTAAAACTGAGCTTTGATATGCAAGAAATAAGTAAAGGCAATATAGCATGATTGATATAGGCACCATTTTTCTTAAGCGGTGTGAAACAATGCTCAGTGTTCCCTGTATGCTGAGCGCTTGGGTAGCTGTCAGGAGCGATTCAAATGCTTCCCATCTGATTGGCAGAGCACCCACATTCCCACAACTGGCAGCATGTGTTTCAGCTGGTGGTGCACATCTGCATATGCGTGGGTGCACACAACAAAATTTATTCTACACATGATTGTGTATAAAAAATAAAATAAAGGGAACATTGATAATGACTGTGTTAATTATGTAATAATTTTCTAGAGGTAAGTGGGTGAGGTAATACCTTTTATTGAACCAACTTCTGTTGATGAGAGAAACCTGAAGAAGAGTTCTATGGAACTTTTCTTCTGGTATCTCACCAGCAGAAGTTAGTTCAATAAAAGATATTACCTCATCCACCTTGTCTCTTCATTATCTTGGGACCAACCTGGTTACAACAACATTGCATTAAATAGTTTTTCATCATTTAAAAACGATGAACTTCATTCTTTGCAATTTTTTTAATTTATAATTTTAGCTACATTTGTCTGGAAAATATAAACACCACAGGACAATGCTGCATGGATTAGTCACCAATCTTGCGAATATTTGCATCCGTGCCTATCTTTACTCACATGAGTAGTCTCATTGGCTTCAGTAGGGCTACTGGTACTTACATTTCAGCATCTATGTAAGTGTTTGCAGGTTAAAGCCCTTAACAACTGGAAAATCATTTGAATCAATATTTAGTACTTTTTTCTGCAAAGCGTGATTGTATAGTATTGCATTCACGTATTTTTATTAAAGATGTGCTTGTTTTGCTCCATTATTCTAAAAGTTTGTTTAGTGAGAAATATTTCTATGTGCAAATGAAAATGTATATGTCACATACACTACTTCCTCTTACTGTCTGGCTCTTAAGCATGCTGCAGGGAACTGTTGTTTATGGAAAATGCATAATTGATGCTAGCGATATTTTACATGCCCAAGTTGGTGTGGTTTTGGTTTACTTTATAACTGGCTTCAGATACCTTAAGTTTTCCTATTTAGGAATTAATATTTCTACAACTATAATGTAACCTTTCCCTCCCCAAAATATTATTTTAGCAGGTTGGAAACAGGTTTTATAAATCTCAATAATTTCCTTGTTGATAGTTTTGCAAATAATTTAATTATTCAGCAAGATGGGAGTCATCAACTATAGGCTCATTGTAAACATCAATCATGAAGAAAAATATTGGCAATAAATTTAAAAGCTAGTTTGTACTGAATTATCCTCAACTAGCAGACATTGAACAATGTTATTTTTAAATGATGCAATTTTACTTACTGGTGTTATGTAAAATTAGAAAACTTTTTTCCCCATTATTAGACACTTTGTTATGGGGAAAAAAGTTTTCTAATTTTACATTATTAGACACTTTTTTTTTTAATCTGTGGACTGCTTTGATATGGACTTTGGATAAAATCCAAGTGTATATATTACTCGCCGGATAATAGGATATTGTCTCAGTGCTTTGTTTTTTTTTCCTCCCTACCAGGGAAGTCGAGACAACATGAGTGTGATTTTGATCTGTTTTCCAAATGCACCAAAGGTATTGCCAGAGGCGGTGAAGAGAGAGGCAGAGTTGGACAAGTACCTGGAAAGCAGAGTAGAAGGTGGATCATTTAAAAAAAATAAGTAGCTTTGTTTCTAAACAATCCCTCAAATAAACTTTAACAAATGTAGATTTTTATTAAACCTTTAAGTGCCATTGGACCTTTAGGCTATGTCTGAACTTGGAGCTAGGAGGTGTGATTCCTAACTTCCATAGATGTACTGGTACTCTCGTTGAGCTACAGCTCTAAAAATAAGTGTAGCCATGGTAGCATGACTACATTGTGCATAGGCTAGGTACGCCAAGTACAAACGCTCCTGTACTCTGAGATGCTACAGAGAGCCTTTGCTGCCACTCACCGCTGCCCTTCCCACTGTTGCAATATTACTTCTTTTTGAGCTAACCCAAGAGTGTCTACATGAGCTGGGAATCACACCCCTAGTCCCAGGTGAAGATGTAGCCTACATATGCATCTCTGAAAAAGGCGCTTCTGTATTCTGGGGATGTATGCTATATGTCATGACAAAATAGTACCAAAACAGAAATTTAAGAAGCTTACAGTCCTGGAGATTCTATTTAGTATGTCTGAGGAAAGTAATTTATTTGTGCTCAAAGTTCTTAAGTCCATTGGCATCATGAACTTTAGGTCAGTAAATTCGGATTACTGATGTGGATTTAAATGAAATCTGGCAGTATATTTTTGAAGATGGTAATTTGAGTGCCATTTTTCTGTAAAGCTATGTACAATTACATGGTTGGCCCTAAAAAGTATATTGTATGGTAATTTAAGGGTCATAGCAATGTTACTGTTACCATAATAGCACTTGCTAATATTATATTTAAAGAATAAAAACCTATTAACATTTGTTATAACTGAACCATAAACACTCATACTGAACTGAAGCTGGACATCGAACATACCATCCTGCCAATAACTTTTAAAAAACAAGTTATATTTACATTTGTTTTAAATATTAAAAGAAAAAGAGAAGTGTTTCAGGCACAAAGTGCCTGCAACAACTTGAATTGTGTTGACTTACAAAAATATTAAATTATGTTTTAATTTCGATTATATTGTCTTTGGGCATTAAAACCTGAGGCAGAGATTGAGGTTTAAGAAATGGCTACCACTGATGTGCCCTTACCTCCTAAATATATTTACTAAATATCAAACTAGCCAATTAGCCCATCATAAAATGGGATTTTCAGATCTCTCCTCCACGTCCTATTCCCTTTCTATCTCGGTCTTCTCTCCTGAGCCTCCAGTTTCTCGCTCTGTCTCTCTCTTTCTCCCCTCCTCCTACTGCCTCCTCCCTCTCTTTCTCTCAGCTCTCCTCCATCTCCTGCCTCTCTCTTTCTCTTCTCTCCCTCCTGCCTCTCACTCTCTTTCTCTTCTCTTCCTCCTCCTCCTGCATGGGGAGCGCGGAGCCCAAACGGCTGTTTGCGCCACTTGCTCCTGTGCGGCAGCCTGGCTGAGCGGCTTCCTATGAGTTCCAGCTGCCCCCCTGCACCATTTCCCTTCACCCCAGCACTGATCCTGCAGCCTCCCAGTTGTCCTCCACTTCTTCCTCCCCCTCATTCCCCCTCCCTTTCCCCACCCAGGGTCTGTTCACAGCCAGAGGATGGGGCCTGGAGCCGCTGTCACGCCGCATGTCACTGCCCTGCCCCCCTTCCCCTCCAGCCGTGGCGCTCAGATGACTTCTGCGCCGTTCAGCCAGGCCGCGGAGGGGGAGCAAGCGGAGCAAGTAGCTGTTTGGGCTCCTCCGTGGCAGCCCAGCTGAGCGGTGCAGAAGTCAGCTGAGCGCTGCGAAAGTGGGCGGGGCGGTGACATTCACGGCCAGGAGTCAGGGCCTGGAGCCGTTGTCACACTGCATGTCACCGCCCTGCCCCCCTTTGCTTCCTGCCATGGCGCTCAACTGACTTCTGCGATGCAGCACGGGGAGCGCGGACCCCAAATGGCTGCTTGCGCTGCTTGCTCCCACGCAGCAGCCTGGCTGAGCGTCGCAGAAGTCAGTCGAGCGCCGTGGCGGAAGGCAACAGCACCGTCCAGAGGGAACAGCCAGCGTTACAGAGTCACAGACATTGGGCTAGTATATATATGATACTCATTGTACACATTCAGTTTAGTGCATAGATTAATATTTTAAAATGGAAACATATGGAGGATATAGATTTTAATTACTCAGTTATGATGACTCTATTGTGTTAATATCCAGCCTGAGGGTCCCTACTAACAAGCATTGGCAGGATATGCACAGCTCTTATGGTTTGTCACATCAGCAGGTCTCGCCAAGTGGTGGTGAGCCCCACTTGCCAGCCGCGCGGTGTGGCACGCTGCACATGTTCAGAGTGTGCTGCGCAGCTGTGCCGGTTTGTAATCTACTCACCACAGGCGAGTAGATTACACTAATTGTCGAGCCCTGCACATCAGTGACTGATGAATTTATAGATATGCCTTTCTTCCCTTTAACTGTTAACAAAAATCTATTTAATTTTGGAAATTTGGCTTAACTTGAATATACCTTGGTCTTAGAGTTAATGTTGCACATCTCCTTTAACTGATCCCATTGGCCTATTTGTATTACAGTAGATGAAATGGAACATCATGTCCAGATATTGCTGAATGAAGATCCTAAGTATTCAAACTGCAGAAAATTATGG